ACTGCTGCATTGGGAAGGACTTGCTGTTTTCATCCAACACCTTTGTGTTATGTGTTCTTGCTGTGAAAAGAAAATACCTTGTTTTCAGTTTAAATAGGGCTATTCAAGGATGCAACTATGATCTGAACAGTTTTAAAAACCTGAACGCAGATTTCTTTAGCTTAATTCTAATGGAACAGAAAAGATAGCATATTTTACAAATCAATATTCTGTATCAAAAAGAATCCTCCCTTTCCATCTACTTATATTTAGATGTATAACTATAGTCCTTCCTCCTGAAACAGGATGGACTTTGGTTCAAGTTAATCTTAGAAGAGACCTGTTCCAACACTATATATTAATATAACAGAAAGGCAAAATGGAACAAAGGAAAATTAAGGTGGCCTCTCCATTAAACTTCTTTTGGAGAGTTACGTTTAGTTGCACACTTGCTGTTTAGTGCTTTATGAATAAATTGGCATATAAAATCAAAGACTGTCCTCACTAATGCCTAAAATTATGGGTTTCTTCATGTATGAATATATAGTTGTAACTATAATATCTAGAAGGTTCAGTAAATGTCCTTATACCACCTTTGTATTATATAAACACTTTGTAGTATGTAAGATACTTGTGTTATCTTGTTTAGAACAATCAAAATCTATAAAGGCAACTGGATTTTAAGAAAACAGCCTTACCTTTTAGTGCTTTTGATATAGTCTCTCAGTTGTACTATTCTCTAATGAAAAATTTTTTATGTATAGCTTTGAGCTGTCTTTTTGAAATAGTTCAAAGACAGCAAAATCAATATTAGAAGCAAAAATGTCTGACTCTTCTATTCCCTTTAATCTTAAGGAACTGATTTCAAGCACCATTCCAAAGTTGAACTAGTTCTCCCTCTCCTACAGCCTCTTTTATTCTCCCATAGTGGAAGAGTTTGAAAAGTCAAGTGTTTTGATTTAAAAACCACCTTCTCCCACTGTTAAATAAAATGAAGATAAAATAAGGCATAAATAGATAATAATTAACAAAACTTTAAGTAGAATAGGGGAAAAAATATTGAAAAAAGGCATATTTAGTAAGTACATTTAACTTTATATTTTCTCCATACCTTTATATTAAAAACTTGAGATTTAGTCTCTACTTCAAAAGTTTGTACATCACTTTCTTTGCAGTAACTTTCTGCCCCAACTGTATCCATAGTATTGCTTCCACAATTCTGCGTATTATAGCCACTATCCATCTGACAGAAACAGGAGAAAAAAGAAAACAAAACACCTAAGGATAAAATTGCAAACTTACATATTCATAAGATTATGAGGAACTTAAAAGTTAAAAATTTAAATCACTGTATACTTTCATTCACTACATCTGAACAATACAATGTAATATTTAATTGTTGATCATATTGAATGAAACTTAAATATAAAAGGTAATTCTAAATAGAACTGATATTTTTTCTGAGACAGGGTCTTGCTTTGTTGCCTGGGCTAGAACGCAGCGCCGTCATCATAGCTCATTGCAACCTCAAATTCCAGGGCTCAAGCGATCTTCTTGCCTCAGCGTCCCAGGTAGCTACGATTGTTCTTAAATATAGTCACTTTACAATTCCTTCCAATGAAATGTGTTGTAGTTTCCGTTAGAATCAGTGAACAAGCCACTGAGAACATGCTTTCCTGTTACTTTGTGAACATACCCAGTAGATGAAAATGAGGATTAGTCAACTTCACTTGCCAACTTACTTTCCAAGCTTAGCCCTAAATGGCTTGCATGTGCCTCTAAATAAAATTTACCTAAAAGGAATGCTGCCTTTAAGAGTATTCAAAATAGGCCAGGCGTGGTAGCTCACACCTGTAATCCTAGTACTCTGGGAGGCCAAGGCGAGAGGATCGCTTGAACCTAGGAATTCAAGACCAGCCTGAGGCTCAAAGCAAGACCCCATCTCTACAAAAAAATCAAAAACAGCCAGGCATGGCGCACCTGTAGTCCCAGCTACTCGGGAGGCTGAGGCAGGAGGATCGCTTGAACCCAGGAGTTTAAGGTTGCCTTGACCTATGATAATGCCACTGCATTCTAGCCCTGGCAACATAGACATCGTCTCAATAAAAAAGTATTCAAAGTATACATTTTTTTAAAAGTGGGTTACATTATACTCAGACCCAATTGTTCATAGTGATGCCATGCGTATAATGGCTCTGGATGTTAGTT